ATAATAACGGATGTATTTAGAAATAGCTGTGTGCAATTGAAAAAATAACATACCGATAACGATGGCGACAAGGCCAAGATATACACTGTAGGTCAGATAGCGCAGGGTCACAATCATACAAACTGTTGTTGCACGCCACTTCGCATATAATTGACGATATCTATTTCAATGTCTTTCGAGGTAAAAAAAATGATGAGCAAGTATACGTTGTATGTGTTGTGTATTTTAGAAGGCTATGTATTCGCGTGTGATATTATTCTGTATAAACAAAAAGCATCCTACGTATTTACATACGCTGTAAAAATATGTTAATTATGGATAAGAAGGTCTGCCCGCGCCCGCCCCGCGACCGATTGCCTCTCTCCCTAGTAGTATTTATTTAGCGGAGCAAAGCAGACAGAGCCGCCTGTTCCCATGCCCCAATGGTCACAGACTCACATTGTGTAGAAATTTGGGTTATTGGGGTATTGAGATTGTATTTTTTTATTTTAAATTTATGTACAAACATATTTATTTACAAAACAGTATGTATTTTTTATTTTAAAAAGAGTACTTTTTGGTCTATTTTAAGGGTTGATTTTTAGGAAGACAATACAAAACGTACACAATATTTTTTTCTTCTTTTTTTATAACTCTCTTCGCCACTCTGGTGTTTTTTAAAAATACAAAACACAAAAATCGCAGACTCGAGTCCGACACATCCCGCCATTTCGCAAGTATTCCAAATCAGTACTCTGCTTTTGATCACTGATGGCTCTTTCACCAATCATATCACTTGTTTTGAATTCTGAAATTCGAATTTCTATCACGTACATATATACACGAAACAACTACGTGTGTATTATGAGACTACGTATGTATTATGAGACTATGTATGTATTATGAGACTACGTATGTATTATGAGACTATGTATGTATTATGAGACTATGTATGTATTATAAGACTATGTATATATTATGAGACTATGTATGTATTATGAGACTATATATGTATTATGAGACTACGTATGTATTATGAGACTATGTATGTATTATGAGACTATGTATGTATTATGAGACTATGTATGTATTATGAGACTATGTATGTATTATGAGACTATGTATATCTTATGTGACTACTAAACCCTAAACCCTAAACCCTATGTAAGTATGCATGTATTTCCTGCCACAATACCCAGTCCAGTATTTAACCCTGTAACTGTGCACATCATTCCTAAATCATGAGTCATACATATCAGTCATGAAATCATGAATGACGATAACTGTCATATTGAAATGACGTACATTGCACGTTACATTACATAACATGGGGACAGCATATGTACAATGCCAGCGTTTAGTACGATGCAAGAATATGGCAAGTATATATATAGGTATATATAGTTGAAAAGTACTACATATAACTATATAATTATATAATTTGAAACCATGTCTACGTCAAGTGAAGGAGCCCCATTGTTGCCCCACCCAGCTCAGCGGCCACTTGCTTTGTGCAGGAAGGAAGAATATTATCTTTTTAGCGCAGGACAGGTACATTAGCATATATTTTTTTGCCTGTTCACCTCTTTCTTTGCCTACTTCAAGTTATTTCATTGTCCAGTACGGAACTTCTTGTCGGTGATTATAGTGATAGGAAATTTGAGATAGTACCTGCGCAAGTGCGCACTGTCTCGCAGGAGAGATATAAAAAAAGTCCGTCTTATTTTATCCAATTTTGGCATGAAACGGACTGTGGACAAAGTTCACAGATGCTTGAGCAGCTTGACAAACTTTTTGTTCTTTTATCCTCTGTGTGTGACGAAAATGAACAGCCATCGTTTTTAAATACTCGTGAAGTCGTGATATTCTATTTCGTAACAGGCGCTACAATATGGGATATATATATATATTCTGTTCTCACTTACGAGGCTATATGATTTAGCATTGTATTTATATTCGATTATTTGTTGCACCTTGGTGCTTTGCTTTATTTCATGTGGACCTAGGTCTTGCCCTCAACTCCCTGCGAACTATTGTTGCAACTTCTTCTGTCGTTTTTATCACGTTCGACTCATAGTCGTGCTTACATAGTAATCTTTAACCCTTCACCGTTTACCCTTCATCTACTACTTGTGTTGCTGGCCTAATATTATACAAGGAACAGCTGGCTATTGCAATATTATATCTGTTCTTGCTTATTTGAACCACAACTTTAAAACACAGTGAACCTGATATTCTGCTTACGCATGACCCATACAACAGAGAGGTTAAAAATTTACATTTATTCACCTTGACGGGTAGGTATTCGTGTTTATTGCGGTCATATCCGTCCTGATATGGTTTCTACACTATGACACGGGGCTGGATTGGAATAATGCAGACTGTGCCGGAAAACCTTGTGTGTTCAATTATCATCCGCCTATGATGGTTTTGGGCTTCCTTGCATTTGGATACCAAGGTAGGTATAGACTGAATGAATGGTTGTTATAAATGATTCACTCACTTGCGTGTGTGAATGTAGGTTTACTTGTGTATCTTGTACTTGTCTGCGATATTAAATGATATATATATATATATATATATATATATCGATAGAAAATAAATAATATATTTTATATATGATATATATATATAATATACAT